CAGTCGACAATGGCCCTACGAGCCGTTCTATAAAGGAACCACCACGTTTTTAATAGATATTAGAGTAGCAAACCAAATACCATGGAATCATGTACTTTTATCTCTAATATGCACATAGCCGCCTAGTAATATTGAGATGTCACTCATGTATACCAATAAACCTTCCCCTTCACGAGCTAGATATTGGGAGAGGTGGTACACATTGGATTTTTTTACAGGAAACTGTTGTGCTTCTGGGAATATAGGTAATGGTATGACTACATGTGTACGACTGTTTCATGGACAACCTTGCTTAGCTAGATAACGAGATGAGACGGAAAGTGAGCACTTCATATATCTACCTAGACATACAAGGAATATACCTGATGATTATAGCTACGCTATACGTTATACGCTATTCTAGGATGGCTTAATGCTATAGTAAATAAAGGGCATAACACGGTAGACTTATAGCGTCTATTTTGAGCAGAGCATTTATGCGAATTCGATAGGCTGCTAGGTAGTGCTTTAGTTATTAGCCATAGTCAATTAATCTTGGTTCCCTATACGGAGTAAGTTGGCCATGGGGTGGCTTACCTGCTGCATCCGATAATGAATCTGCAGAGGAAAGAAATAATAATTATAGTATATTGCAGTACGAGTACTTAAATGAACAAGCATTAGTAGATATTACTTGGAAGTGACCGCAAGGCTGCATGCACTGCTTGTATACCTTGACCTTATACTATAGGTACTTGCGGGACTAGGAGATCAAGTATCGTGAGGATGCGTGTACTCCATACTGCGGGGAGAAGTATCAATACTTGGCCGAAGTCGTTACCTTGCGTTGCATGTGCTTGGCATCGCGACTTAGCTCCATACCTAACCTTGTCGTCTGGTCTGAACTAACTTAGCAAATGTTATTTTAATCCTGCTCTTCGAATTGTAGCTAAACTCGGTTGTAAGTGAATTATATTTGTTGCTAGCAATGAAAAAGGCGATGTTGCTATTCGATGACAATATAAGCCTTACCGCCCTATACAGTGAATGTATAGATACAAGCGGGTAGGTTTACAATGTATCTCAACTACATGCCAAGAATATGTATGTTAGGTTAGGTAGGCAAGGTTCATACTACATACATGTATGGATACCAGCCACATCATCTACATATCCACTTGAATACCTGACCTTAAGACTCGACCTTTTAAGGCTTAAATAGGAAGCCTATATATTGTATGAATATTTAGCTATATTGAGTTGTCTGTAATGATTAATATAGAATTGGAGATTCGATGCGGGTAGCTACATGATAGTTATGTGGCAAATACTCAATTTGTTCATTACCTAGTTATTTTATATTCGATATATGATAGAGCAAAGAGCGGATTATAGCCTTATTGGCCGTATCTCATTCTAATACATCCTAAAGATGTAGTCAGCAATGCTTACGTCGTGAACCTCTATCCCCGAAATTTACTTCACTATATTGACTGTGGTATATTATACGTATACAAGTAACTAGTTAAGCAAAAAACAGAGTAAATACAATAATTGGTTACAATACCTTGGAACTTCCAACTTCCAACTGCAATGTACCCAGGGGACTAAAGGAAAATAAGTAGCTATTGCAGGTACATACATAATATGTATTGACGCCGGTGAAAAAAAAAATACATGGGATACATAGGTATGTATAATACATGCTGCAATAGTCGAGTCCCGTCTTGTAGCAACTAATATCACGTGCGGGTTATTTCGAAGCACAGTGGAAGGTCTTTTATGTATATATGTACTCCTTATGGCTTAGGTATGTAGGTATGGACATACATAAAGAAATGCCTGGAATTATTGGTAATCACTTTTTTTAGTCTCAATTCTTGACCCATGATTAACCGAGTTAAGGGTTAGACCGGGACGAAAGCTGCCAAGAGATTTTATATACCACAAGGCACAAGGATAATGTTAGCGAATTAGAGCCACCATGGCTCGAACATTAAAGGTACTTTCCACCTTCGATGGCTGCGTACCGCCAAATCTTAACCTTTTCCACACTTCTTTTTTCGTGAGGTGCCAGTCGTTCGAACCCACACCCCCAGGTCGCGCACGAAAAAATAAAAATACCTAAATAAAAAAGATTAGACACCAATCCAAAACATCAACCAGCCTAAGCCCAAGATACTTTCATCGAAAGTACTCCCCAAGGAACAAAAGTTGACATCGTCCAAGTCCTGGTTAGTCGAGTTTTTTTTCCTGCATTATTCAGGTAGCAGGATCTGATCTTCGTAAAGTCACTTTTTGTGTTCATTACAGACGCATATGTAGGTACCTACTTATTGCGCTACTCTTTTTTTTTTCTTTTGAGATCCTTGCATTAGAGTTATTAATTGCAGATTTAAAAATTGACATCGCGATTAGGAATTTGAAAGAAAGCTGTGGTTTTATTTTTTCGACCAACTGAAGGAGACGAGAAATTTAATTTTTTTAAGGAAAAAAAAAAAAAGGTATCGTGACCTTTCAGTTTTTTTTCTCTCACGTCAATCCAAGTCTTACGGCAGAATAACGCCACATGTCTGTACCCAATGAATTACTATACCCTCTCAATTGCAGTCAATATTCCTCAGTTTTGCCATGCATCGTTCCAAATCTAAATGCCCTCACTTTATTTTTTTTTTTATTCGTTTTCATAGTAACCCACTAGCTGCACGCATATTGTAATGTACATTGATTTCTTTACTTATTCCATTGTACACTAAGGCCTTGGCTAAATTCCTCGGGGAGCTAAAAGCTTAGACCACAGGGAACTAACTTTGTACCGAAGGCGTTGCTGGCATAAAGAAATTTCATAAAAAAAACATATACACACAGACCAATATCGGGGCTGTGTTATAGTCCGTGCGCAATAGGCAGAAGTGCAAAATTTGCAGGTGGCTAAGGCTACATCACCAACGTTCCTTCTACATTACATACCTCTTACATACTCAGATACTTCCCACGGTTCCTCAACCTGCACCCCTCCCTAAAAAAAATCCGCACAGTTTGTTCCCTCTACCTTTCCCTTTCTCACACCAAGGTACTCCGTACTTCTGCTGAACACGATACATTTGGTTCTCATTCCCTGTCATTGCAACAACAACATTCTCAAACCCCAACCTCACCTCGAATCTTTTGTTCACCGGCGTCGGTGCCTGCTGCGCGAGCGCCCACTTTCGATTGACTAAACCCTTCTTGTCACTTTATTTTTTTCCCACGGGTTTGTCTAACACTTTATCCCCCAGCTAAACAGCTAAAGCAGAAAGTCGCAAAACTACCTGTGCAGTACCAGGTGACAGACGCGTCAGTTGTATCTCGGGATCAAGTCGCCTCAAGTCACCTCAAGTCACCTTCGAGGTTGAGAAGACACAAACCGTTGTCTACTGGTACTCTTGCGACTTGACTTTATTGATTGCCTACCCTCGCCGTTTCGCAGCAGGAGGCAACAGAGTTTCAATATCGCTGCAGACTTTATGCACTACAGTTTAACCATCTCATATTTCTAATTGCCCGTAAGTTTTGAGTACATTCTACTTTTTGTATTTTTATTATTTTTTTGAACCTTTCAATTATTGTATTCCGGTATTTTCTTCGCGATCCCCACTATCGACATCATCACCCTTCGTCTCCTGCATCAATAGAAGAAAATAATTGAGTTGCGCGACTATTCAAGACACGCGTGTTTGGATCAAACACTCCAACCAAACCTTTCACGATGTTGTCGGCTGTGGCCTTGCTCTGGCATCAACCATCAGCAGCATCGTAATCAAAATCAAAACACACGTTGTCCAACTAAAAATGCCCTTTGCCCCTCCAACTTCCTCGCGCATGCAGACACCATAGTATTGCCTCCTATTACAACAATCTCGCGGTAACATTTTATCATCGTCACTTTTTACTCTCGCTACTACTCACTCTTACTCTCATTCTCACTCTTACCACCGTTACAACTACTTGTCATACTATGTCTTTTCTTTGTCCTATGTTTCTATTCGTCCTTATTTTTTCATCGGACCAGTGGTAATTTTTTGTGTTGTCCCCCCTCTGCCGCCGTTGTTACTTTCCCTTACTCTGGCGCACCTCGCCTACTTACTTCGCCTCCCTGTTTCTGCGCGGACTAATTCTTTAATTTTCTCACCTGTACCTTTTTCCCTTTTCCCCTCTACTTACAATCCATTTTAAATTTTGTTCCTCCAATTTTTATTTTTATTTTACTCAGTCCCGTTTTATTCATCCCCCCCCTCCTTTTTAAGCTTTAGCTTTGTTCCATGCACTTTTGATTTTCCTTCTGTTGTATCGGGAACAAAGAGAAACCTTGGTTATTGTAGCTGACGCTAGTTTGCCCTTTTCAGATCATGCAGCAGTGGCAGGTCGGCCCCATGCCGACGGAGTACCCGGTCTACACCAACTCCACCCAGCACGCGAACGATGGCATGCAGTAAGTACATCCCCTTTCCTCTCTACATCTTGTCTCTCAAGTACTGTACTTCTTCCCCGACTCTATATACATTGTTCCCCATCTTCCCCCTCCGCTTCCCCCCCCCTCGTCTACCCCAGATGGGCTCGTACACATATACCACCATTCTCGTTGTATAGATGACATGGTCATATATGTACCAAATGTATACCTGTCGTCTCAGTCATGGACCTGTCCCGCAAACCTCCAACCCAGGTCGACAAGTCCCTGCTCCACCACGAGTGGCAGGACCCCTGGTGATAGCCTCATTCTTTTCCTTCGATACAAACTTAGCAAATACCCACCAGCCTGCAGCTCCAACTACCTCATAGCACCCCTGTTCTCTTCATCAGCTGAAAGGCAACCTACCTCTTCCGCCTTACTTTATCAACTGGCGCCGGTTCGGAATGTTCAATGCTGTGCAGCCATGATTGCATCGTGTCTTGCTGTTGTCGCTCTCAGCAATACCAAGTCATATGGGTATGCTAATACTCTTATGTGATACAGCCCTAACCATCCTTATCAAGCCGACATGTCACGTCGGACTGAGTTTACTGGTTATACGCCGCAGCCTCCGAACCCTGGTGCCCAACTGCACCCATCGCATGGTCAGCAGCACCATCAGCAACTACCTCAGCACCAGCAGCACCAGAACCAGACGCATCAGCAGTCTCACGGTCCCCATGGGCAGCACCCCCATCACCAACCCCACCAGCCTTCACACCCAGCACAGCAGCATCATGCTACGCCTGTTCCACCCCCGATGACCATCCCGCAACCCGCAGTTGCGCCGTCTCAACAGTCGACTCCGACCCCAGCCTCCGCTCCGGCTCCGCGTGGTCGCAAGCGCGCCGCGCCTGGGCATCAGCAGCAGGCCCATCAACAGCCGCACGCGCCAACCGCCAACCCGGCGACTCCAGCTCCGACGGCTACAACTGGTACCGCCGCCTCGAGCACTCCTGCTCCTGCACCGGCCCCCACCCCAGTTTCCGCGGCGCCCCAACCGCCGATGCAGGTCACTCCCGTCGCCCCGCCGGCGGTTCCCACCAAGGAAGAGGCCAGTACTCCGGTTGTGCCACCCCCGGCCAAGAAGAGCCGAACAAATACCCCCTGGACCCCCGCCGAGGAATTGCGACTTAAGCAGATGAGGGATGCAGGCAACAGCTGGGCAGAAATTGCAAAGGTCAGTTCACTTGAGGTGAATGTTATTAGAATTATAACTAACTTGAGTGACAATAGACCTTCCCGACGCGAACTGAGGGCAGCGTTAAGAAGCATTGGTACAAGGTATGTATTTGTTTAGTATATATCGCGCCATGTTCACTGTTGCCAATAACCGTCTAGGATATGCACTACGCCGAGTTTGCCGAAGACGAGAGCCAAGCGCTCCTCAGCGCCATCAAAGATTACGAGAACAACAAGTGGAAGACCATCGGTCAGAAAGTTGGAAAGCCAGCGAAGGTTAGTTTGCTCCCTCTACTCAATTTACTTGCAACATTCCGTTCCATTGCTAATCGATATCAATACAGGCTTGTGAGCAATATGCCAAGGAGCATTTTCCAGAACTCTTCTCTACGCAAAAGGCACGTTAAGAAAGCCCAGGCTCTAGGCCCTATATTTCGTTCTGAGTGTCCCATTTCTGGCGTTGGCGCACAAACCCTATATGCTTCGATCTGCTCATTCTTATCAGGTTTTGTAAGAGAACAGGCTCTATGAGGTCATCTTCGGCGACATCCCACTGGTACGTGGAGACCGGACTTTCACAACTTCGTAACCTCTGGTTGTACCACGACATGGGATGAAGGGAGATTAACGACATGGCGGCGTATCGTCAACTCCCGTTTTCATCTGTAGTTCTGTTTCGGTATACTTATTCGGCAAGGATACGGTTTTCTTTTTCTTTTCACAGCACGATTCCCCCACGGGAGAATGGATGGTTTGTTAAACTACGGAATTCGGGAAGAATCAGAGTTGTATTCTGTGATCTCGAATGATTACGTCTCAGATTACGTCTCGAGGCATTGTGGCAGGCAGGTTGAAGGATTATTATTACACACAAAAAAAGAAGTCTTCTAAAAACCATGGCGATGTTGATGCGTGACTATGGATCAAACAGACGTGCTCTTAGGGGGTTTTAATGCAGAGTTGATAGGATGCGAAGTCACTTGAGTTACTATGCGATCGGCAGTCAATAGATGAGTCTTTTTAATATCCGCCATTTGCAGGCCGTGGCACTAGGGAATCTGTAGCAGTATCCTCACCCTACAATATACCACAACGGTACTGGGTGTAGAGGTAGCTACTTGAATACTACAGTTATCCATTATGTCCATCAGTATCATATGCTAAGCTTGTTTATGTGTTCATTGTCTAAGATTATCCGTTTGGAGGGATTTTAATAGTGTACACTACACCTATTAAGCTTATGTGTATTGATTTTTCGTTTCTTTTTCATTTGACATATTTTATCTAACCGCGTATTCGTACAACTATTACTTTGCTTAAAGAACATACTTTTCCTATTAAGAATGAAAATATTAAATACAGAGCAATGGTATTGCTAGTAGATATAAGGGTTACAACGTGACGGCAGGAATAGCATAATCATATGATAGAAAACGGAGGCTATTCTCGACTTACGCTGAGCCGTTTTGGTGTCGTTTTGTGTATGCCGCGCGCCTTAGGTACCTAAGGTAAGTTCACCAATATTCCATTAGAATTCCGACAGAATCCCGACACCTTGGATTGTGCCATAACGTTCGGAGAAAAGTTTAGCGGCCGCACAACAAAGTTTTCCTGCCGTTGGAAAGTTAATATTGTCAGCCTCTCGGGATCTAAATAAGTTCGAGACGTGCCCTCGCCAACCATATAAGATGGCGCTTTTTATCTAGCCCAGCTAGCCGGAAAGGCTGTCTTGTCACTCCCATGGTCTCGGAAACAGATAAGGAGCAAGCCATGTAAATTCTCAGGAGAAGGCAGGTCGGGGGAAAAAAAAAGGAAGATAGGACCTAGTCCTATGTCTATTATTACTTTCCCTTGGTGTTTCTCCCGTTCTCTCTCTATCTACTGTTGTATCATCTATAAATGAGATAGAGTTGGGCGGTGGAAAACAAGAGGAGTTAGGTACCTAGCCGGCCGTGTGTATGTACGTCGCGGAGGAAAAAAAGGGGAAATCACGCACAAGCAGACGGCCGGACGCTTACATTCAAACGTGACTGATTTGCATGTGCGTTCCCGTCGAGACTAAACTAAGAGACGGGAAGGGTAGATTAGGGGCGCAACGATCTTTCACCAAACCAGATTTTCTTCCTCCGCGCTTGTTGCGATGTAGGAGAAAAGCCATTGCTTTCATCATATACCTACCTACCTACTTATACCTACATATCGGTAGGAAGAAATGGCAACTTCGACGACAGCGTCGTCGTTCAAGAAGACGACGCTGTCACATGCGCAGAAGTCGGTACTCGCCATGTCCCGCGCCCAGTACCTTGAGGACATCCGCGCCACGCGGCCCGCTGACAAGTTATATGTGGGCGTGTGCATCTTCCGCATGGACACGCATAGCTCACGGCCCTCGGTCTTGTTACTTCGACGGTCGGATACCCCTGAGGCGGCTTCATACGCTAATTCCCCTATTGCCCCTAATTCTCCTACTACCACCACTACCACTACTGCTGCTGCTGCTGCTGCTTTTAGTACCTCCCCCTATTCTCGCTGGGGCCGTAGTGATCGTCATAACAAGCAGTACCAGCAACGAGATAGTTACGGCGTGGACAGGGAAAGGGAGACGGAGGGCGAAATGGAAAGGGAATATCGGACTAGGCACCACGCTGGCATGTGGGAGCTCCCTGGGGGTAAGGTGCGCGACGGCGATTTCTGCATCTCGGCGGCCGTGGCGCGGCGCGTGGTAGAGCAGACGGGGTTGCGTGTTGTGAGAGTGCTTGGGGCTCTACAGGATGTGAGACGGGTTGCTGAGGTGCGGATCCTGGACTGGGACGATGACGGCGTGGGTATATTTACGGCGGGCGGGAGTAATAGTGGGAATTTATCCGTGCTAGACGGGGCGACGCTGACGTCGGCTGCGGGATCTCCTAGTAGTGGTAGCTTTGGGGGGAGTACTGGGAACGGATATGGGAGTGGAAGTGGAAGTGGGAGTGGGAGTAGTAGCAGTTGGAGCGGCGGGATAGGGGCGAGAGGAGCAGCAGGTGGGTTGAGGGGCAGTAGTGACTCGTCGCAGTCACGAAGGTCGCCGATACATAACCCGCAACTTGTGCTGCGCAAGGAGTATCTACAGCTTAATTACGCGGTGCTGGTGCAAAACCACGAGGACTTGGCTGTGAAGTCGTCGGAGCATGACGAGTTGGTGTGGGCGAGCTTTAGTCGTGCCGAGGCGTTGCCTATGCCGGAGGAATTGAGGACTGTTGTGCATCAGGGATTGGCGTTTGCGGGGGAGTATTTGTTTTGATGGGGATTTGGGGATTTCGGGGTATGGATGGATGGGTTGGTTTACTTTGATATCTTGTCTTTATGTTCCTTTGTTGTTGTCACTTACACAGGTAGTTACGATATTAAGGGGGTTTGAATGAATGTGGGATTGGTGTTGAGATGTTGTATATAGACAGTTTATATTATTATCTAACTATCTAAAAGCCCTCTAACCTAGATATTATGTGATTTAAGGGGTCTCCTTTACATTCTTATGGGATAGATGATGATATCTTGATGCTGCCATGGTTCTGCTTGCTGCGGCTATGATGACTTCTTAGAATACTTAGACGTCAGCAGGTTATTATCCCTTGATACACAACGCCCTTGGCCTAATTCGGAATCGTACATCATCTTTCATCAAGCTCTACTCGGACATATTACAGCGTGTCTATTTAACCTTCAATCAACAAGCAAGACCGGATCCTCCCGTAAAGAAAGTCCGGGGTGCATGAGATTCTGTCTTGTATGTATGCGGCCGTACAGCAATATCGACGATCGACGTCACCTATCCGATTCTATCCCATCCCTGACAGCTTGCCGGGGGGTTTCCTCTCTTGGCTTTTAATGACTAAGATAAGGGGGGGTTGATGAGTACTGAGCAGTCATGTATGTAGGTATGTATGTATGTAATTCCGTAAGGAGAGTTAAATGCATACCCTTTTTTCCCCAATTCGTCCTGAAGGCTGAGATGTGTGGTTCTCCTTAAAGGAATCATGCGGTGACACGATACACAATTAAAATGATTGGTCTTTTCATTCTTCTTACTACAGGTTAAGTTGAGTATTTATTCTCTAAGATTTTCCGCGTCTTCCGCTTCGCCCGGCCATACTTAAATCGGTACAGTATCATATATCGTTTAAATATCGTTTAAATACCCTCCTCGCTACCAATTATTTGGTCGACTGTTTGTTTAAGGCATAATATTAGTCTATCATGCATGCTTTTGAGAACAGACGTTACGAGCAGATTAGCGGATAGGAGCTGGAGCTGGAGCTGAATATCGTTGACAATGACCTTGTATTTTTAGCTTAGACATGGGCAGCTTGGCATATTTGTTAGCTGAGTTTCTTAGAATGTCTTGAAAATAAATGTCTTGAAATTTGTAGAAATGTTAAAACGTGAGTGAGTGATGTAACAATAGACATTTACATATATACCTTACAGTAATCGTCGATCTACAGATTCCTTGATAACGACGTTACTAAATATGGGAGGTATGTTTTAGATGCCTTGGATGTTTATTGGCTTCTTTGGGTTCTCGAGTTTTCGAGTGTTTTTTTTTTTTTTTTTTTTTGGTCATCAGTCAAGTTTTTATTAGTTCGATTTGTGAGAAATACGAGATTTTGCATCTGAATGAACACAGTATTAGAATTTACAAAAGGTATAAAATATACTGTACCATTTTACAATCATCCAATAAGATGACGGTATAATTCAAGTCCCACTATTCTAGCGGCTGTCAATCGATTAAATCTTGGTACCTTTTCTAGCCTTTCTGTCAGTTTTGGTACAAACAACGGTGGAACTCAATTCGCTTTGACCCGCAACAAAATATTTTTCACTATTCCAAATTAAGTATCTTACAGTAAATCTTACAGAGTAACATAACATCTCTCTTAATCCTAATCCTAATCCTATCAACATTGTCACGCTATCTCCCAACCCCAACCTAGGTATTTCAACCTATCCTATGAAGATCCTAGGCGAAAGAGAGATATTCCTAGGCGCTATGCTAGGCTCTCGAACATTCGGGCTTCACGCCATTTCTTTTCCCACACGTTCCTCTCCCTCTTTCTTCCCTTTCCCCATACATACTAACCAACTCGTATCGTATCGGCCCCATAAGGTAGATAGTTTTCTCGGTTTGCCATTTTTTTGGTAATTACTTTCGCTTTGCCGTTTGTATGCATTTTTAAAGCAGGTGGTGGCTGCGAGTCTTTTGTGCTCATCGTATATTTAATATATTCAAACCTTCGTTGGCCTTGCCTTGCCTTGCCCTGCCCTTTGTCCTATATTTATAATAATTTAATCGTTATTCGGATCCTCTAAAGGAGGTTTTCTCCTCTCTCGCTTTCGAATTATTACCCTCGCTTGAAACACCCGATAAAGCAAGGCTACTTTAGTTATAAATACTGAAAAGTAGTTTATATATATTTTATTATATATATAAGTCGACAATCTTGTTGTGACTCCTATTGTCCCTTCGCCCCTTTATCGGGAATCGTACCTACGCACGCCTTCCTCATCTTAGTGTTTGCTTTCTCAAAGTATACACGTGTAGAGGAAGTGTCGGCTGCTGTGGACTGAGTCACATATCCACCAATTGATAAATATATAAATATATATATTATTCCCGGCTTCATTCGCTTGATACGCCTACGAGCATTCCGTGCTGTATATACTTACAGAGACGCACGCGACTCAACTTCTCTCGATTACGGTATATATATTACCGAAATAATAATACCTTAATATTCGTCACATCAACATATATAAAATGCTTCGATCGATACCGACCCTGGCTGTAGCCTTGCTGGGCGCGTCCACTGTACTCGCTCAAGAGTCTGCGCCTTCCTGTTCCCTCACTAAGAAGTGCCCAGAGGAAACTCCCTGCTGTTCTCGTAAGATACAACTCCTACCTGTTTGTGTTAATGCGCAGTTCTCTAACTGGACCAAACTATAGAATACGGCCAATGCGGTGTTGGCGCGTACTGCCTCGGCGGATGCGACCCGCGCATGTCTTTTTCTCTCGATTCCTGTGTCCCCGAGCCTGTGTGTCAGTCTAGGACGATGAAGATGGACAGCACCGATCGCATCGCTGACGCCTCAAAATACCTTGGTGATGCTTCCAAGGCTGATTGGGTCGCTCAGGGCAATCCTCTTTCCCACGGTGGCAATGTGCTCTTGACTATGCCGCCTCACTCCGCCGGAACTGTTCTCGCCTCAACTGTCTATATGTGGTACGGAAATGTTAAGGCTAACATAAAGACGTCAAAGGATGCTGGTGTTGTTACAGCTTTCATTCTGCTCAGTGATGTGAAGGATGAGATCGATTTTGAGTGGGTTGGTACCGAACTGGATATTGTCCAGACGAATTACTACTTCCAGGGGATACCCAATTGTAAGATTCTAATATATTCAAAGGATTATACGAGTAGCAATCCGCTAACTAACTAATTCTATAGATACCCATTCTGGAAATATCACCGATTCGTCCATCAAAAACACCAATACCGAATGGCACACCTACGAGATCAGGTGGACTCCAGAGAAGATCGAGTGGCTTGTAGATGATAAGGTTGGTCGGACGTGGGAGAAGTCCAAGACCTGGAACTCCACTACAAACCAATGGGAATTCCCCCAGACACCAGCCCGAGTTCAACTTTCTATCTGGCCTGGTGGTGACGAGAAGAACGCCAAGGGAACAGTTGACTGGGCCGGTGGATATATCAACTGGGACAGTGACGCTATCAAGAAGGACAAGTACTACTACGCTACCGTCGGTGAGGTTACAATCGACTGCTATAAGACGGACAAGGCGCCCGGCACCAACTCGGGCAAGAGCTACATCTACAACGACGCCAAGGGTACTAATGATACCGTTGTAAACGGTGACTCTAACACCATCTTGAAATCGCTGCTGGGTACAGGCCTTGATATGGACAAGGACTATCCCAAGGACTCGAGCACATCATCAGGCACACAAGATGTCATTCCCGGCCTAAGCGGTGGCGGGCCTGGTACTAATGGACAGGCAGCAGGTGGGAGCAGTGGTGACTCGGGTAGCGGCTCGGGCAGCGGCGCTACTCCCGCTGGTAGCAGCCCTAATGCCGTCTGCACGGACAGTTTCCAACAGGTCTGTGGTTCTAGTGGCGACGGCAACTCTAACCACGGTATGCGGCCAGAGCGTACTTTCGGCGCTAGCGCGTTTGCCGCTCTAATCGCCGTTGGTGCTATGCTTTGGCTTTAAGTTGCGAATCGAGTTTCTGTTTTATACGTATATGTATATAATATATAGGTATCAACCTTACAAAAACGAGTCTATGGGGGTTTCCTTAGGTTCTAGGTTCTAGGTCCTCACGACCTCTCGGGCGGCTCTTGTGTATGAACCGCGATACCAATCTGCGGAGGTAATGGCATGATGCCGTCCACTCCTTTTATGGATACGGCTTTACATATCGATGCGGGTATGATGTTGCCGAACGAACTACCGAAACGTTGTACCTGTGGGCACATGGTGTTTAATGAGAACCGCTAGTATAAATAACTTGTATATAATGAAGAGGAAATTAGGAATATGGCTGTCCGATTTGGGCTTGAGATGATGTTCGTGATGTGTATGATTTGGGTCTTCGTGAAGTATATGTCGAGATGCGAACGTGAGGAGAAAACATACTTTCCATACGTTCAGCTTATCGCAAGTTCAACGATAGCCTAGCGCTCGTAGAAGATGGCCGACGAGCAAGACATCTTAATAATAGAACAGGAACAACAAAAAGGAGGGCGTAAATAAGTCTAACTGCATAATTACGCCTGTTACGCATATGAGTACCTGGACCAATAGATGAATCAATCATGAAGAAATCTGTTAGCTTAACACAGTATTAGAAGCCGAGGAACTACGATTCGATAGCCAGTCCAACAATGCTGCTAATTATATCATAATTATGCTAGAGCCATATGAAAAGCATCTAAGCTCGCAATAGGTAGTACCAGTGTATAAACCAATCCCTTCCGGACTTTGTACGAATATCCCAGAAGCCGGATAGAACCCGTCTTAATCGGATGGTTTGAAGGCCGTCTCTCGCGGGTGGGTCTCGGAGCTCCGAGTTACTTAGAACGAAAGCCGGGGGGCTTTGCGGCTTGGGCTGTGTGTGTGTATGGTCCATAGGCTGGCTCTAAGCTTAATTTAGTAACCGCCATGGGCAGCCGAGCGAATGATAGTTAGGCGGGATGACTAGCTCTCCGTAGGTCTGCGGCTGAGCCACCGACGATACTTCACTTTGGGGGCCCCGAATTCTGCGCGAGGTAGGTCTTTGCGACGGGCGTCTTTCGGATCTATGGGACGAGTTGGATTCATCCGCTTGTTATTGGGGATGTGTAATGTAACAGTGTCACGGTTGGTTCATTGATGTAGAGAATAATAATATAAAAGACTGTCCTTCCGTTGAGATGATAGTTGGATTTTTATACATACATCTTCAGATATCAGAGTTCATTGTAGCTTGCACATTACATCAAAAGCAGCATAGCATATGTTGACTCTTTACACTTACGACTTACATAAAGTGACTACAATATAACCTACCCTTCAAGTTACCTACGAATTTACGACATCACATTTTACCCCCGAAGATTATACTCACACTTATACCAAAGCAAATCAATATGGCCTCGTCAAGCAGCAACACCAAACTCATCGCCTTCATGGGCGCCTCCGGGGGCATCGGCCTAGGCGCATTAACCCGAGCACTAGCTGCAGGCCACACTTGCATCGCACTCTGCCGGACCCCATCCAAGCTCACAGACCGATTCCCCGCAGACCAATTTCCGAACCTAAAGATCGTACAAGGCAACGCGCACGACGCCGCCGCCGTAGTCCAATGTCTAGTCGTCGGGACCCAACCCGTCGACGCCATCGTCTCAACCATCGGCGGCGTCCTACAATTCTCGCGCATGACGCTGGACGACCCACACGTCTGCGAGAAGGGCATGTCAGCACTACTAGCCGCCATCTCTCTCGTACGGGAAAGCCACCCCTCCCTCCACTGGCGTCCGCGTGTCGCCGTGGTAAGCACATGCGGGATCTCGCAGTCGGCGCGCGACGTGCCCATCTTGTTCGTGCCCATGTACAAGATCATGCTGCGGGTGCCGCACGAAGACAAGATCGCCATGGAGAAGCTGCTCGTGGAAGGGGCGGGGAAGTGCGGCTACACGTATTCGATCGTGCGGCCCAGCTTCTTGGTCGACGAGGCAGCGCCGCGGAGGGAGATACGGGTGGGTTTGGGGGATGCGCCAGCGGTGGGGTATGTGATTTCTAGAGATGATGCGGGGAGGTGGATTTACGAGAATTTGTTGGATGGGAAGGGGGTGAAAGGGGGGATGTATGAGGATACGATTGCTACGATTACTTGGTGAGGTGAGGGTATGCGGTGTGATTCTGGGATTGCTATGAATTCAGCTGGGCGTTGGTTAGACAGATGATACAGATGATGACGTTTTGTTTAAAGTCAGGGGAAGGATGAGATGTAAAACATAGTATGATTTGCTGGCGTCATTTAGAGTTTATTTCTATGTTCCCTTTTACACTAGTTAGTCGGATACACAAATAGATAAATAGTACGTTTCAAAAGCTGTCAGTTCCATCTAGTCGGGATCTTGTATACACTAAAGTTTGTTTGTGCATTTACATATGCAGATATGGCAGGTCCATACAACTTTCCCGTCTGAAGAGGAGGTGGCGCAAGTTAGACGATTGGCTCTTAAAAGTCCCCCCCTCAATTCACTATACATAGTACATACCTAGGTATGTATAAGAGGCGCGGGATTGATTTACACCTATCAATCCTAAACAAGCCGAATCCACACCGAAGTTGCGATGATCTTTTCCCGTCTTTTATGTAATACATAGGTAATTTCCATCGTCTCCTTATGATGACGTTCCTATTTAAGTATTATCCACTTAAGAATTTATTAAACTTACAACCAACCAATGCGGCGCAAACATTAGTTAATGTTGCATTTCTTAGTCAAATGCATAATGGTCTCTATAATCACCAATAAAACTGTAACACAGCCCTATGGAGTTATGCTGAGCACCGTGTATTTAAGTCTATTCGAAATAGGGAGGTATCATCTTGAGCCAAGAAAAAAGGGAGCGCTAAATGCTTTGCTGAATACCTGAATGTTAATAATAAAATCGAACCAAACCCTTCCTTCTGTCTAGTCATTCTCTCTATTTATGATCGTGTCTTCGTTCTTATCCATTTTTCTGATTGTCTATTCTCACTCGTATCCTGGAATTGATGCATGCATGCAAACTTACAACTTCACGTAGAGGTTGAAGGTGAGTAAGAATAAGCAAAACCCACATTCCCTTGTTTAAATTGCCCAAGTCTAATACATAATCAATAGATACATTCACTTGTTATTTTTGAAAATCATTTGTTCCTTGTCCAAAGAAATTAGGTCACATCGGGAACAACTACCTTGTCATTCATTATCATTAACTATCTATCATTATTATTATTCTTTGAAGTTCGACTTTCAGCGTTAGTCACTGAAGAATTATCGCCAAATTCCTTGTTGACTTCTGTTCATAAGTTAACCTCCGGCCATTTGTTTTGCTATAAACGCCACGACAAATCTACTTTTTTTTTCCTCCCTTCCTTCCCTATTTTTAGCTACATACTTGTTAAACAAGCAAGCGCGATCTAAGCACATATTTTATATCAGAATCTTACTTTCCATCTTACCGGTTTTTTTTTTACCCCTTCAAAATTCTAAACATGAAGGGAACTATTGCAGCACTTCTCCTTGGCACGGCCTCAGCGATGCCGTCACTTACACCTCGCCAAGATGCTCCGGCAGCCGAATCTCGCAAGCTCGTTATCGGCGCTCCCTTTCAAATCCTAACTGCCGATTTTGATGGGTCTAAGTTCTCCATAACTGGAAACCATACCGCTTCTGGGACAGGACCCAGCTGGCTACTCTTCAAGGAACCAAATCTCCTGTATGCCGTCAACGAGAACGCCAACGACACTAGTCTTTTCACCCTCGACTCAGGCAAGCCGACTCTTGCATCTGCCGCGAATGGTACATCCGGCGTAGTCTTCCTCGAGTTCAATGGCGATAAGACCCGCATGGTTGGCGCTGGTTACGGTAGCGGTACTATTGACGTTTGGGATGTCTCGGCCGCCGATGGCAGCATGAAGCACCTAAAGAGCGTTATTGTTCCGGGAGAGCCTAACCCTGCTCAAGGAGCCCACCACCCGCATCAAGCTCTCCTCGACCCGACTGGTCGATTCTTTGTCATTCCTGACCTAGGCGGTGACACGGTGCTGGTACTCGACAGCAAGGATGACCGGTATGAGTTTACCGGCAACGCAACCCTACCTACCGGCACTGGACCCCGCCACGGCGGCTTCATCTCGGACGGAGACGACCACTACTACACGCTAGCTTCCGAATTAACTAGCGAGCTCTTCCTATTCAAGCTCACCTATACTGGAGACTCAATTAGCTTCAAGCAACTCCAGAAGCAGAGCACCTACGGCGCCGTCCCAGCAGCGAACGCCTCCTCCGCGGCTGCGGGTGAGCTCGTTGTCGCTGCCAACCAGAGGGATGTATACGTGTCGAACCGAATCAGCGGCAACGAGACGGATAGCATCGCACATTTCGTATTCAAGAAGGGCACTAGCAAGTGCAGCGCTGCTCACCTCGACTTCGCCGACACTGTTTCGTCTGGCGGCCTGCGCCCGCGCATGTTCAGCCTGAGCAAGGATTCCGACCAAACCCTAGCCTTCGTCACGAACCAAGGTGGTGACAACGGTCTCCTCGCTTTCAAGCGCAACAAGGACTCAGGCTCACTCGACCCGACGCCCGTCGCTACCATGCCCTACAAGTCGCTTGTAGCCCCCGAGCTCGCGACTACTGATCTAATGGGCCCACAGTTCGTGCAGGAAATCTAAATACTAAAACACGAGGGAAATCATGGAAAAATGCATTGAAAGCGGACGGGTTTGCATTGATGGCGGCGTTTGGGTTTTCGTGATAGTTGACCAGGTTGACCTTTCACCTGAGTCGCTTTTTATTCGTTGATTTAACCCTTTAGAGGCATTGAGCTGTACATAGCAATATCAATCTTACTTTCACCATCGTGCCTCATTGTTAGGTAGTCTTGATGCCGCTTAGCTTTCTCGTGAACTGTTTAGTGATTGTTCGTAGTCTGCCGTTTTCCTCGGTGATATATCTGTTTTTGATGTTTCGATAGCTAGCCCTGTTTATGAACGTCTATTAGTGGAAACAGGTGGGTAAGTATCCGTTATAAACACGTTTTATGGTGGAGTTAATATTGGTGGATTACAAGTAGCCCAGTCTGATAGTAGCCATGCCGAATATAGATGGGAATTTAGCTTGCATATGTGCCTGGCCCTAGGTATATTTCCCTTTTGGGAAATCGAAGTGGTCTAGGCCTTTAGATGCTTGATAGTTGAGTGGAAGATGAAGATACAATGGCATGTACGAAAAGGATACTCAAACTCTACCAGAAGAGATTGGATATCGCCACGCCTCAATAATATGGATATTATCATGATATAGGAGAGGTTTGGCAAAATAAGAATTGAGTACCCCGGCGCAGATCGATCGGGAACGAGACTGTAAAGGTGTTGTCATGATGGCAGAAGCTTGTCGTGAGGCGATCTGCAATGTAACCCTCCTAACCATCAATTTCGACGACCACGACGCACAAACGGTGGAGACGATGGTCCGGGGAATGAATTTAATTCGATCCAGGATATGAAAATAAGATACTGGTTAACATGTCATTGTTCTTATTGTTCTTGGTCTTGCAGGTTGGATATGTTGTAGAATTTGCAATATAATCGTCTAAGACGTCAATCGAGATCCGGTCGAGGCCAAGTATAGTAGGTATCAACCCCAGATTGTTTCATAGCGGCATAGTTACCAAGCAATAACTTGTTTAATCGTCCCACATGACTTGACTAGATTTAATGAAGCCTTTTCGTAGGGCTTGGATACATGTACCTTGATACTCTGTTAACCCATTAGCATACGAAACTGGTGTTCTTGGAGATATTATCTGGTTTTACGTCATAGATGACCGGATGCGGAAATTGAAGATTTTCGAAAAATCAATTTGCGTACAAGCTCTCCCCATCGAGGTCTCAATACATACACGTGTATTGAGGACCCGAGTGGCGTATGCCAGTCTCCCAAGACGGCGATGCCCTATGGGGAAGCCCGAGTCATCTTGCATCACTTGCTGATACGTCCCGTATTGAGACACCTTTGGAACTCGTATGTGTCTCTTATATTCCCGTAGATGATGGATCTAATATTCTAATAGTTTTGATTATTTCTGGAATAATTTGTTTGACTCTTTTCCAGTTCGAGGATGACGAATCCAAGATTTTCGTAGTAGTCGTGATGGGATGACGAAGATGCTAGTTACACTAGAACTAACGATTTCAGCTTTTAAAAATTGATTTTCTTATTAGCTCCTTAGCTCCAATGGTATCGAGAGCTTGGGCCAGTACGGGGAATGCGTTCCACTGTTATTAGCTAATGTAAGTTACTTAGTGGTCTCGTTAGTGATACCGAAGCACTTGTCCGATAACTATGACGTACTAGATTAAACGACTTTAAGTTTCACGTCATCAACACCTAATACCTAATTCAAGTAAGTACCTAGGTAGGTATGGATGTACTCTAAGTACAGGTTTTAGACTTGAGAAAGCACTACCAAGATGGATAAATGCATTAGAGAAATACTTAATATTAGTAGTAAAGAACAGCACCTAACTATGTACCTTAGGTACTAATTCATGTCTGTCATGGAAGGAGTATAGCTCTCGGCCAGCTGCATGCGCTCATATATCATATTGTACTTTTAACATATACTTACGATTACTTACATTTGAACTACGTCAACGTATAATAAACACCTTTGTCCTCCCCCAGACCTCAAAATTCATTTCCTCGTTTCTCTTCTTCACCTAAGAAAGATTATACATTGTGTGAATTCACAATATAATAACAGCTTTATACCCACTTATCCTAATATACCAATATACCCTCACCGTGATACCCAAACCGATTCTCTGCTTTGCGCCGTTGTCAAAAATCCAACTAAGAACTTATATCAATATACCCTATTTACACATCCCGACGCCATCATGGCAAGCGTAAACAAACCAACCGATATCAAGCAGAAGGAAGCCGACGTCAACCGAAAGCTTCAGATATACGGCATCATCAACGCATTCCAGATTGGCAAAGTACCATCTGTAAGTGCTCTTCCATATATAAACACATATGAAATCCCCTATTCAACAACATAAAGCTTACACTAGATGTCACAGAATGAGCAAATAGATGTCGCCCTGAACAGTTTC